AAATCAAATTATAATAAAAAAAATTGAATTAAAGAAATTACACAAAAAAACAAAAACTCTAAAATAGTTAATTTGATACTAATATCGATATATTTATTTTCAAAATTTTATGATATATTCAATTTATATTTTAATTAAAAAAAATAAAAAATCATTTATTTTTTCCAAAACCACATAAATCATACTATAACATCTACAGAGATAAAATAAATTGAAACATTAAAATTAAGATATATCTCGTTGCATTATGTGAATATATTTCTAGTATTTGTATTATATATGATCATAAAAACTATCTTATATAATAATTAAAAATTTTAAAAAGTAAAGAATTGAACCGATTGGATCAAATTATTTCAAGGCAAGTTATTAAAATTGACTCATATAATCCATTAGCGAGAAAATACAATTTATAAGTAAGTGATTGTTTGATAATTGCTGAATGATTTGGTGTAAAATGATTAAGTGGTCAGAATGATTAAAAGACTCTCATGATATAGTGCAAAATGAAATATAATTGTTTGGTAATTGTGTACAATAAAATTAGGGCTCTTAATGGTTAAGGGAGATCCAGGATACGAAATCATTCAGAGGGTTTTAGAACCATTAAGAGACAAACTTTTTTTTTGCCAAACAAGATTCACCTCTTAATGTTTCAGAGATTGCCTCTTAATGGAACTATTAAGAGGTAAACAAACAACCCCTAAATGAACTAAAATTATTACGTCTAACTTCGAGATATGAAGACAAGACAAGGATTAAACGTTGATCCAAGACTAGTTACTGTTACTAAGATTCAGAGTTCTATCAACGAATTTTTCTGAAGGATTTTCGTCGAGAAATTACCGAAGGATTTCTGACGGATAACATAAAAATGAAAAATAAGTCAATTTTTGTCGACTTCTACAATAAATTCGTCACAATTTAATTTTTTTAGTTCCGATTATATTTTGTGGTGGAATGTTTATTTATTATTATAAAAGCCCGTTACAAATCCACTACAAAGTTTGTTTAGTTTAAAAAAATTAATTAGTCAAAATTTGTGGCGGATATTAATTAATTAAAATTTAGAAATCCGTCTCAAATTGTAATTAATTAATTTATTAATTTTCCAGAAAATGTTTTTTAAAAAAATAAAAAA